CCTTTTCCTGTACCAAGCTGATTAATTATCTAAGACCAACTGCTAAATATAAAATATATTAAATATTTTTCTTTGTGTAGCAGGTAGGTATCTTGGTTCATTAAACTCAGATTTGCAGAAAGTGTAACTTTATTTTTCTATAAATAAACTGAAGTTCTCTTTTGAGCCTCCATTCTAACAGAATGTGGAAAAATTTATCTCGGGCAATATGTTGTTATTATTGTTGTTAAATGCTGTCAAGTTTCCCTCTGACTCATGGTGACTCCATGCACCACAAAATGAAATGCTGCCTAGTCTTGCACCATCCTCTTGATTGGTTGTGGATTGGACAGTTGTGATCCATAGGGTTTTAATAGGCTAATTTTCAAAAGTAGATTGCCAGGCCTTTCTTCCTAGTACATTTTAATTTGGAAGCTCTGCTGAAACCTGTTCAGCATCGTAGCAACACAGAAGCCTCCACTGACAGATGGGTGGTGGCTGCGCATGAGGTGCCTTGTCTGGGAATTGAACCCGAATCTCCCATGTAGAGGCAAGAATTCTACCACTGAATTACCACTGCCCCCTAGTCAATTATACTGCCCTCCAATTCAGTGGGATTTATAGAGTGCCAAGGTATGAGATGCAGGAGTTTGGGGATATCTTGTCTTCATTGTCACCACTCATATGTCCGAATTCTCTGACAGGTCATTGTTTCATGTAAGTCTCTGCAGCATCCATCCTTATTTGTATTGAAAAGCCTTTTCAGAGCCTGTCAGTATTCTGGACCATAGAAAATATTCTTCTCACCTAAGCCATGGGGAACTTGGTGAGACTGTCATGGATCTAGGTGTGCAGAAGCACTATGTGGATACCTCTTCTATTCTTGCTCCTCTTGGGATCTCATGCCATTTCCTGTACTCTGTCTAAGAATGAAGGTACAATTTTTTCACAGATGTTGGATCCGCAGAACCCTTCTGGGGGGCTCTGTCATTCCCTACCCCTCCTTGGGGATTCTCTTTTTTGCTTTCTGTCTTTACCACTCTTGCTGCAATCTCAGATTGTAATTCCTAATAACGAGGAGGTTAGAGCTTTGCTTTTAATTACCATGCTTTCTTTCAATTTTTTTTCTTATTCCTGGTTTAAGGTTTTGGATTATTTTTTCACTATATCCTTGTATGTCATTCCTTTCCCAAGGCGATGAACATGGAATATTCGTTCTACCTGGACTGTGGGAAATTTTAGAACATGAGGAAATATGGAGGAAAGGGAACAATATTTACTTGATGTTTAAAAGTATTATTCCACCAGACCTCTATTTTTTTTTTTATATTGCCCATCTCGTGATGGCTTCATCACAAGAATTTTTACTTGGAGATTTAAATATTTTTTAGCTAACAGAAGGTATGGGAATCCTTTTTACAATTTTTATTTGGAAATTTGGGATTCAGATATATGGTATTGTTTCATAGATATATATTTGGTATCTTTACCACTTCCTTTGGAATACAGATGAGAGCAGAAAGGATTTTTCTTTTCCTTCTTCCTTTTTTAACTTTTTGCTATAGTTGATTCCAAGCATACATAAAAGTAAAAGCAGTGGTATAATGAACTTCCATATACCTATCATCCAGCTTCAACAGTGTTCAACTCATGACCACCTTGTAGCATATATAATCCTTCTCCCTACCCTGATCCCTACCACTGGATTATTTTGAAGCCAATTCCAGGTATCATATTTTATTATCCTCATTTTCCTGATGGGTAAATAATGAGTTTTAAATGTCCACCCATTGTGGTGCTATTACATAGTCCAGAATTCAAAACTCCATTCCATCCACTTAATACTCATTTAGTGCTTATTCTGTGACAGGTACTAGTCTAGGCTCAGGATATACAGAATGCAACATAAACTCCAGGGAAAATATACATTGGGTACTAGTTAGTCACACGAGGATATAATTTCTCACTTCTATTTAAAACTTTCTTTCTTTTAAATTGTGCTTTAAGTGAAAGTTTACAGAGCAGATTGGTTTCCCATTAGATAGTTTGTACATAGAGTGTTTCATGACATTGGTTGCATTCCCCACAATGTGTCAGCACTCTCCCCATTTCTACCCTGGGCTCCCCATTCCCTTTTGTCAGGATTTTCTACCCCTTCCTGCCTTCTTATCTTTGCTTTTGTGCAAATGTTGTCCTTTTGATCTTGTTTATTTGATTGTTCTAAGGAACGCGTTTCTCTCTGGTGTTATTGTTTATTTTATGGGCCTGTCTTTTGTGGCTGAAAGATGATCTCCGGGAATGGCTTCAGTTCCAGGTCAGAAGGGTGTCTTAGGTCTGTAGTCTTGGGAGTTCCTCCAGTCTCCACCAGACCAGCAAGTCTGGTCCTTTCCGTGATCTATTTAAAACTTTCTAATAGCTTCCCGTAACGTTCTTAACGTGTTGCATGGGGCAAATATGCTGCAAAAGATCTCTTGAAAGTGTTAAAACGTAAAGATGTCACTTTGAGGACTAAGGTGTGCCTGACCCAAGCCATGGTATTTTCAGTTGCGTCATATGAATGCAAAAGCTGGGCAATGAATAAGGAAGACTGAAGAAGAATTGATGCCTTTGAATTATGGTGTTGGTGAAGAATATTGAATATACCATAGACTGCCAGAAGTACAAACAAATCTGTCTTGAAAGAAGTACAACCAGAACGCTCCTTGGAAGCGAGGATGGCGAGACTTCATCTCATGTACTTTGGACATATTATCTGGGGGACCAGTCCCTGGAGAAGGACATCATGCTTGGTAAGGTAGAGGGTCAGCGAAAAAGAGGAAGACCCTCAATGAGATGGATTGACATGGTGGCTGCAACAATGGGCTCAAGCAAAACAACGATTGTGAGGATGGCACAGGACCAGACAGTGTTTTGTTCTGTTGTACATAGGGTTGCTATGAGCCAGAACCGACTCCACCGCACCTAACAACAGCAATATTCTTAAAGCTAGAACTACTCTAACTTTATTTAAAAAAAAACAAAAACAATCTGCCAGGCCCTGCCTCTCCTGCTCCTTTTTCCTTTCTGACTCCTCTTCCGCTCTGTACCTGGCTCACCGTACCCAACCACGCTGCCTCCTGGCTGTTACTGAAACATTCCCTTGATGTTCTGCCTCTGAATCTTCCTACTTGCTACTCTCTTTGTCTGTAACATTTTTCCCTCAGATATCTGCATGGCTTATTCTCTCACCCTCTTAAGACCTTCTCTGCTCTCATCTGCTTTCCAACGCTTGTCCTGACCCCTCTAGGTATTAGTCCATATTCACCTTGACTAGTGTTTAAGGAGTAGGGGTTTGAGGAAATCCTCTTGTTCTTTTCAAATAATATGTTTTAAAGCCTGTATTAAGAATTTTATCTTATAAGGGGGACAAATCAGAAGAAGAGGAAGTGATTATTCAACAGATGGTTTGAAGACAACTCAGCCTTTTGAAAATATCAATTTACCTATCAACTTTGCAATATACACTGAAATTATTTCCACGTGGTTGCTTAAATAATAATTGGGTAATCATTTTCACATTCTTTTCTTCATAATATTGTTAAATAACACGAGAATTTAAGTGTCGTGCTTTTGTGATCACTTGGCTTTTGAGGCACAGCAGGATTTTGAAAAGCTAGTAACTAAACTTTTAACTACTGCAAATCTTACACTGTAATAGTATTTTTTCCCCTCTGGTAAGTAATTGACTGGGTTACGTACCATTTCAACTCTCCTTCTGCTTTAAGGTAGGCTTTTTTGTGAGTATATGTCCTTTAAAATCTTGCCCTAGGTTATACTGTGGTTACTTCATTTGTGTCTGTTTCGTTGTTAAGATTTAGTTCTTCAAAACTACCGTGACTGACGAGAATATAGTGAGATTGGCATTCTTATTCACTGCTCATGGAAGTGTATCACTCTTTCCAGTAATATGTATCAAGAGATTTAAAAATGTTCACATCCTTAAACTTCATTTTTAGAAATCTATCCTAAGGAAAATGCACATGTAGCTGTATGTTCACATACCGCTGGGTAGTGGAAATTATGACTGTTTCCTGCTTTTCATTGTTTTCTATTTCTTCTAAATTTCATTAATGCTCATCTCAGGGGAAAAATAAAACTACACATATTCTTACTGTTACTCTCTTTCTCTATTCCCCCCTCCCCCCAGTACTTCATTGCTTGATTTCTCTGCATAATAAAATGATATGATACCTTCAAAGAAGAGGCTAAGATTTCAAAGCATAATATTTAGTTTGTAGTTGGAACTCAATAAATGTTTGTTGAATCATTTTCATGCTTTCATTAAGTTTCCTCTGCATGAGAAAGCAGAGTTTAAGCCTGTATTATAGGCTTGTAGTTTAAGCCTATATTATATCACGTAAGAATCAGGGAAACTACTGAAATATCCAAGAAAATGAAATATTTATTTGAATAAATGAGGTTTTTCAGCAAGTGAAAGTGTTTTTTAATTAAAAATACGTTTTTATACTTCCTATTTATATGAAACTATTAAATAGGTCTTTTAAAGATCCTTAGTATTTAGCTTAGTTTAAAAAATTTCTTCCCAACTTATGGGAACTGCATCAAATCAGTTGCTTTGTTAATTGGTGGTGATTGAAATATCCTGTATCCCGGAGGCTGGGAAATAGCTTAGTTTTCAAGGCTATTGCATGTGTAGTAACCTGGATGAATAGTTTTATTATTGCTACTTAATATGCTTGTACTCTTAAGATGCATTTAATTGTTCATTTTTTTATAGTGATAGATATCATTGCTAAACTAAATGCCTAGAGATAAAGTTTTAAGTATACTTTTGATTGGAGGTCTTTCTGCAGTCTTTCTTGTTTAATAGTTGTTTGATTAGCCTTTGTGTTTTAACTGTCATATTTTATCTTATGAATCATGACAGTATCCCAGATGCTCACATCAAAAAATGTGTGCCCATGTCCATTTTCCACTACATGTTTTAACATGGTTTAAATCTGTTTTTTTTTCTCCAACAGTGGTTCCTCCTGGAAGTCCTGGGCCCATTACTCGGCATGGGTCTTATGATAGTTTAGCTTCTGACCATAGTGGACAGGAAGATGAAGAATGGCTTTCTCAGGTAAAACTCTGAAATGTTTGGGGAATTAAGGCGAAAGAAAGTAGAAACCTAATGTCTATTTTTATTCTTGGAGTTTTACATTTTTTTCCTTAGAGCAAAGTGGAAGAAATTGATAACTCTTTATAAGATCACCAAGAATTCATCAATTGTCTTTCATATTAAGAATTCTCATAATTATTGGCATGGGAATACATATACATGTTATATGTGTGTGCCTATAACATATGTATATGTACCCTCACGCCAGTAATTGTGAGAATTCTTAATATGGAAAGACAATAAAATGAATCTGGGGTTTGTATGTGTATACATTAGCTTTCATACTGAGAGCGTAAAATATACAATCTTTCAAACAATCTATCTCTACTCCTTAGGACCTTGGAGTGTAGACGGACTCCTTAGGACACTTCACTTCAACTTTTCAATTAGGAAAACGATAATGTGTGCTGTCAGTGTGAAAGTATATACAATATGTTTTTCCTGTACCTCCCAGAGGTGCCTCAGAAGAAAAGCCTGGCAATCTACTTGCAAAAAATCAGACCTTGAAAACCCTATGGAGCACAGTTCTAGTCTGACACAGCTGGGGTCGCCATGAGTCTGAATCTACTCAGTGGCTACTACAACGACAACAACAACAACCTTGGAACACATTTTCAGTGGGATAAAAATGAATGAAAAAAGAATTGACGTTGTTTAAACAGTGAAGCCATTCATGTTCTTTGAGATTAATTTTCTGGAGCCAACATTTTCTGAAGATTGTGTTCATACTTTCATTATAGAAGTTCAGCATTCTACTCTACACAATTCCTAATTGTGCACAATTGGGTGTTCTTCCCTAAACTCATGTAAATGCCGCAATAGTCTCTAAACCAGTCCTTCCACTGATCCTTCTTCCCCTTGCCAGGTGAAGCTGTCTTCATCTCAAGGGCTTTGAAATAAAAGAAACTTGGGGAGATTTCAAAACGATGAGATTACAAAAGACTTGATTACAAATGCTGTTATGTCTGCCTTGAGTCTGACATCATTTGGTGAAGTTAATGACCTGTCTCAGATTACCAGTCCAGTGACTTTTCAGCAGACAGGTGCCTCAAAAAACGTGGAGGCCAGTTAACGTTTCATTGCTTTCTCAGAGAGGGTAGCCTGAAAACCAAACGGAATCTGGACACTGGCGAATGAGACCTTTCCTAGGTAACATACATTTCATCACACCAAAAATACTCACAGGAAGCTCCTTGAAGGAGGCTTTATACTTCAATTCCTGGCATATGGAGGTTCATCCTTTCTTTTTTTTTTTTATTTTCATTATTTTTTTTTTAATTGAACTTTAGATGAAGGTTTACAGAACAAACTAGCTTCTCATTAAACAGTTAGTACATATATTGTTTTATGGCATTGGTTAACAAACCCATGACATGTTGGTACTCTCCCTTCTCGACCTTGGGTTCCCTATTACCAGCTTTCCTGTCCCCTCTTGCCCTCCAGTCCTTGCCCCTGGGCTGGTGCACCCCTTTAGTCCCATTTTGTCTGCAGGTTCATCCTTTCTTGAGGAAACCAAGATCAAGTAAACCCAGAGTGCATGTGTTGTTTTCAGAATCAAAATGTTGTCCTTCATAATAGAATGCTGGCAAAGAAACCACTGTCCTTCACTTCAACTTCTCAATTAGAAAAAGGGGTAATGTGTGCTGTCAGTGTGAAACTGCATACAATATGTTTGTCATGCACACAACAGGAGAGTGAATAGGAACATCTGGCCATCGCCTCAGTGAAATTGCACAGGCATCTGTTTACCTCTCGGCTCTGTGACACTGTTGGTTATGAGCTTAAAATACACAGAATGCTTTATCTGTGGCCTCATTTACATTGCTGAATACAACTACTTGAGTCAGAAATCACTGTCTTCAATCTGAGTAGTTTTCTCCCATGATTAGTGGGAACATGAATATTGTTCCAAGACCATGATGCTTTTGCCCTTACACAGTCATAAACACAGAGCTACACTCTGTGAACCTTTTCAGTTATGTTTTGTTAAGAATTAATCACTACAATCATACAAATGTGATTAAATTTGAAAGAACTAAGGGGAAAAATAAGCCACATGGGAAGTCAGTTCTATAGAATGTACGCACAGATATGGATGTAACAATTACAAGACACTAAGACATAGTCTTTCTCCAAAGGTTTCCGTATTTGACCTCTTATTTAGGTTGCTCATTTGTAAAATATTTAATATATATATTTTCTGGTTTTGCTCTTGGGTTCTACTTTCTGCCTTGTCTTTACAATGTTTAATATAATATTGGCAACATTCCCTACATCCTCCAAAGAGCATGAAATTCATAAAAGCATTTTGGTATTACTGTTTGCAGTACCTAAAATGCCTGTGCAATGTTTGCGGTAGTTGAGAAAGTACTAACATGTAATGGTATTTCAAAGACAAAATCCATTTTTAGAGAAAATATATAGTAATTTCTCCATTTCAACAGTGGAGTTTGGGGGTAGCACAGTAAGCATTGTAATACTTACCTGTGGAAAGAAACTAGTGTGTTAGTCATCTAGTGCTGTTGTAACAGAAACAGCACAAGTAGGTGGCTTTAACAAACAGAAATTTATTTTCTCACAATTTAGGAGATTTAGAAGTCCAAATTCAGCATGCTGGCTCTAGGGAAGGCTTTGTCTGTCTGTCAGCTTTGAGGGAAGGTCCTTGTCTTTTCAGCTTCTGTTTCCTGGTTCCTTGGAGACTTCCATGTGACTTAGCATCTATCTTCCCCCATCTCTGCTTGTTCCTTTTATCTCTTGTAAAAGATTGACTCAAGACACAACCTATACTAATCTTGCCTCATTAATATAACAGAAAACTCATTCCCAAATGGGATTATAACCGTAGGCATAGAGGTTAGGATTCACAGCATATATTTTGGGGGGACAAAATTCAATCCATAACAACTGGGTTGGGGTGTTAAACATTGTTTCAGACCTTTTCTTTTCCTTGGATAGGTCAGAAACAACTTCAGGTTTGTCATGAATTTGATCCTTAGTGAAGGAATTATTTTTAATCTTTGGATTAATAAGTGTAGTTTTCAGTGCATGTCCACAAAGTGGAAAACAACTGTCTAGAATGTATGAAAAAAATAGTCCCTAGGGAGTGGACACTAGTTATATGAAGCAAGCAGCTAGTTCTTTTACTTCCATGTGATTTTTGTATTGTGCGTGTGGGTGTGTGTATTTACACTTATATATATACAAATGAATATTTTTTGTTTGGTTGTTTATTTTGATGAAAACCAGTGGAGGGATATAGTGAATGTCTACATAGGCTGTGATTATCACCTTTTGATTGTGGGTTCCCTTTCCCTCTCCCACTCAGTAAGGGTGGGTATTAAGAGAAAGGATGGGACAGGATCATGAAAGGCTCTCAAATGGAAGTCATAATACATTCAACTCATGATTCCTATTCTCTTGCAGGTTGAAATTGTAACACACACTGGACCCCACAGACGTCTTTGGATGGGTCCACAGTTCCAATTCAAAACCATCCATCCCTCAGGCCAAACCACAGTCATATCATCCAGTTCATCCGTGCTGCAGTCACATGGTCCAAGTGATACTCCACAGCCCCTTTTGGATTTTGATACAGATGATCTTGATCTCAATAGTCTCAGGTAGGAAATAAGAACTAGGGAGTGATTTGAATGACAGGGTTAATATGTTCTTTTGAAGTGAGTGTCCAAAATAGTATTTACATTTCTCCTTTTGACATAGTTTCATGTTGCAGACTTATGTCCACTGTTACTTGTGATTTGCTATCATTTCTTCACATCTCTCTCAGGTCCAGTAAATATTTGTGTTTCAAATTGTATGTCACTAGATCGAGTATTTAGTGCACTTTTTAAAGCCATCTGATTTTATGATGCTTTGCTTATGTTTCTAACTGCTTGAAGTCTGATTATAGCCTCTTTACCTGATCTTTCGATGTTGGTATCACCTTCCAATTATATTTCATCTGTGGTTTTCATCTCATGCTGCATCTTTCTTCTAAATGACTTTAAATTGTATGTGTTTGATTAGAATATTGTCCTGTTTAATGGAGTTATAGAAACTTTTATGTTAAGCAGCAGGTTTATAATTTGTTTTGATTGCATTTGTAATTTCCATTCAAGAATAAGTATCCTTTTAGTATCATTTCCATCTCAGCATCCAATTAGAAACTCTAATTCTTCTCATTCTTGCTTACTATCACTCCACCCCAGCTCCTCACCTCTCGTTCTCCTACATTTCTGTAAGCCTCAAAGTCCTATGACCGTTGGCCTTACTTTCTCGTCTAAATTGTGAAGTCCTTGTTCAGATTTTTTTTTTTTTACTTAGCTGACCCTGCAAGAATGCCTCTCTGCATCCTAGCCTAAATGGGGAACAGCAAATATAGTGTCTTATTGTTATATCTGTAAGGGGATCAGTGGCAGGTTAACCTCATGGCAGCTCTATACCTAGAGCAGAGACTTAAAATGTAAAAAAGTCCAGTGAAGTTTGTGTTAATAGGCCCGAGAAACAGCTAATGTAAAGGAAGCAGAGTCTAATTTTCCATTCAAGATTAGCTCCAGAGAAATTGGTTATACCTGTTAGTTTGCTTTCAGTTACAAGTAACAGAAACTCCAATTTATTTTAATTGAGACATAAGTCACATAATGTGAAGTTCACCATTTTAAAGTCTATAGCTCAATGGGTTTTAGTATATTCACCATGTTGTAAGTCATCACCACTATTTCCATTACCCCAACCAGCTTGTTTTTGTCTTTTTCTATTATGGAAAATTCCAAACATACATAAAGGTAAAGATAATACTAGAATAAACCCCCATTTATCTGTTGTCCAGCTTATTCAACACATTAATATATGGCTAATCTTGTTTCACTTATAGCCCCAACCAATGCCTCACCCCCAAATCTGGATCATTCAGAAAACCCAATGTAAATTGAATTAATAATAAGGATATTCATTAGCCCACATAAGAAGTTGTTTAGACCAGAAGGGGGGTCTTTAGTTTGAATGAACTAAACATATCTAACTGGCTAGCTTCCTATTGCTTTCAAGAACAAGAACTCTTTTTTTTCAGAAACTTCAAATAAATTACCCCTCTAGTGGTTAAGTGCTATGGCTGCTAAACAAAAGGTTAGCAGTTCGAATCTCCTCTTTGGAACCATATGAGGCAGTTCTACTCCTATAGTTCTACTTCCTATAAGGTTGCTATGAGTCAGAATTGACTCTACGGCAGTGAGTTTTTATCCATGCGTAGCTCCCCCTTTTCACTGGCCCAGATTTGCTTAGGCCTGATCATAACTGGGCAAAATAGTCCCTTCTCAGGATTGATGGGGTTACCATGACTGGCTTAGAAAAATAAGCTGGAGGGAAATGGATATTGGAGCCCCACCATATTGTCCACTATAGCAGTGATCCATATTTGTATATAAATATTTTCAACTTTCAGAACTGTAATATTTACTGAAAGATCCACTTCATGATCTTATGCCTCCCTTCCATTTCTTTCTTCCTCACGACACACACACACGCTTTCACACTGTGCTCCCAAGATCTTCCCTTTCTCTGCAATTCATGCTTCTTAGCTTGGCATTTCAGGCCTCTATAATTTGATGCTGCTTATCAGCCTGTCATCTTCTACCAAGACCCATTATGCTTCCGCCAAACCATTCTTCTCAAGACGCCCTGCATTTATCATGCTTAGTCCCAAAACCAAGGGTCTGCTTGTGCTAATTCTGTACTCAAGGTGTATTTCTTGCTCCTCTCCATGTATACATTTCCTGCTACTCTTAATGATCCAGTTCCTGTTACAAATCCACAAGGTCTTCTCTATCTACTGTGGACCATGCATATATGCCCCACCACCTCATTCTGTGCTTTTGTTATCTATATTTTCACACTTTAGTATTCTTTTGCATCACCTCAGATATGTTTACATCTTATACCATATGTCTTGCACGTAGACCTAGTATCTCATGTTGTCTTTCCTGCTTGCTCCCACAGTAATGCTGACACATGACTAATATTTAGCAAATACTTATTTGCTAAATGAATTACAAAAAATGCTTACATATATTATTATAAAAAGTTTTTATTCCATTAAGTTGCCTGGAATTCTCATATCTTTTAGTCATACAAAGATGTTTGTGTTGATAGTATTTATTCTAATACAGCTAGAATTAGACCCTTGGCATTTATGTTTATAATTCTCATGGAACTTGAAATTGTTTGTAGTAAATTACAGTTTTGCTAAGGCTCTAATTGAATCTTCTGTGCTAATTGGTAATGTTATGAGGTTAACTCAGTTTGTTAGTAGTGATCCCAGCTAAACCCTCTACAGCCACATCCCAACACAACTTTTTAATCCAGTGCTTGTTGTGTATGAAATAATTTCCATTAAGGATTTTAAAAGAGTAACTTAATATTTTCAGTCATACATTGCTGCATGTTACAGAGGGCATTAGTAGCTATGGTGCTATTCATGGATTTGGGGATTCTCAAAATTCTTCCTGCATATCCCTTGCAAACGCCAGACGTCTCAGAATAAAGTATTTTGTTTACTCTCCCATTCTACTTAATTTAGCCTTTAAATTAACGTTAACTTTTCAATTCCTTATTTTAAAATTGATTGAATAAGATATCAAGGTAAGTTAGAAGGAGTGGGGAGAGACTATTTGCAGTGCTTTTGTCTTGTGCAAGAGTTAGAGACGGCTGCTCCCTTGCTTGTCTGGTTTTAGAATGAACAGTCCTTTAATGGATTGGGCTATTCCAGCACTACTGATTTAAGGTCTGTTGTAGCAAGCAGCAGTTTTGACGCCAGTAACATATGTGAATTAAATTAAATTAAATTGCATTTCAGGATCCAGCCCGTCCGCTCTGACCCAGTCAGCATGCCGGGGTCATCCTGTCCAGTCTCTGATCGAAGGGGAGTTTCCACAGTGATTGATGCTGCCTCAGGTAGAAAACCACCACCAAATGTTTACTGGGGTGGTTCTGTGCCTTTTTTACTTATTTTCTTGCACAATGTGCAGGATGATATTCATTTGTCCTCTTCTTTGTTTTTGGTTTGTGTGTGTGTGTGTTTTAACACAGTACTCTGCCTACATTTGTTGCTAAACAATGCCATGCGTTTAAACATTCTTAAGGTTGGTGAATGCTGCGGTGGAGGTGGCACTTGATTAAATGTAATGAACATGGTATTGAAGGCTACAGGGTTGATGACTGTTTTGCCTTTGATCACTCAAATGTGGAGAAGCAACCTTGACAGAGAACGTAAATACAGTATATGGATTCAATTTACTCAACCTGTTGAGTATCAAAGTGCCTGATCTGTGGAAGTAGAGTCCAAATGTGATAGCTTGAATGGTTTTATTATTGAAAGCATAAAATTTAGAAATTAATTAACTTAACTCTATTCTATCTATCACAGTTATTAACTTCCTATCCTTGGAATCAAGCCATGAATATATATCATTAGTACTGGGAAGCAGATCTTTGCTTTTGTAGGTGATAGTTGCTACATAAGTATAGTAAAACTATTTTCATTCAGCTAGGCTGCTACATAATAGATCTGTTTGTAATAATGTTTTTTATTATCTCTAAGTTTAATAATAAAGAAAATAGGGACAGTGGTGCTTTACATTATTGTGCCGCTGGGGAGCATCTGAAGATAACACAAATACACAGCAGGATTTCGTCAAAAAAAGTCTCTCGCAAGTAGTATTATTAAATACTCAGCATTAGTCAAACAGTTGAGTCAGAGAGGATTTTAATCTATGGTGATTTCAAAATCCCTAGAGACTGCTGATTTGATTGAGGCTTAAACAGTAAAAGAAAATGGAAACAAACACAAAACTAATTTGTGAGGGTCATTTTTTTTTTCTTCTTGTACTTCAGGTGAAGGCTTACAGAACAAATAGTTTCTCATGAAACAGAAGTACACATGTTGTTTTATGACATTGGTTAACAACCCCACAACATATC